ACCCCGGGAGCAGGCACCTCGCCTGCCTCTTCGTGTGAGCCTCCAGCTGACGCCGGCTGTGGAGCAGCACCACTGAACACCAAACGGCACCGATGCGGCCGGCGGTGACAAGGCCTGCGCTCCCCGAGGAGGAAGGAGAAGGCCCTTTCACCGCGGAGCTCCCGCTCCGGCCACGCCAGAACTTGCAGCGCGGGCGGGTTCCCGCTACCGAGCTCCTCCTCCGCTGTCCCCACGCGTGTCCCGCTCCCCGCACCGACCCCCCCTCCCCGCTTCCCCCCGCCGCGGCAGCTGCCGGCGGCCGCTGCCCACCCCCAGGCCCCGCCACCGGCGCCCCCTCGCGGCCCCAGGCCTGGGGGCCACGTTGCTTCGGAAGGGCCCGACCGCGGCCTCTCCGCGACTGTGGCGGGAGTAGGGGGAGCCTCGGGGCAAGGCCCCATGAGAACTGGGGGGGAAGGGGCACCGCACAAACCCCCCAGGCCCACAGCGCTGATGGGAGCCGGGCGCTCCCCCCCCACATCAGGCCGGCCCGAGGGGCCCCCGCGCCTCCGGGGGAGGGCCCGGCCCGGCGTTTCCCCCCGCCACCAGCTCATCCTGCGGGCCCGGGGCGGCGGCGGCGGCCGTGTCGGGTTATGTAAGGCAGACGCGGGTGCGGGCGCGGTGCGGGCAGCGGCGAGGCCCAGCCCGACGCTCCTCTTACCTTGTGGATTCTCTTCAGCGCCATTGTGTGCGCGAGGCGGCGAGGAGGGGCGGGCGGGGAGGGGGCAGCCGCGGGGACTATTTTCCGAGGGGGAGGGGGGGAAAGGAGGAGCGCGGAGGTAGCGCGGATGAAGAAAAGAAGGGGGGGAAAGAGGAGGAGGGAAAGGGGGGAGGGGAAGGAAAAAGAGAAGGGGGGGAAGGGAAGGAGGGGGAAGGGGCCCCCCCGAAGGCGGCAGCGGGCGGGGGCCTGCGGCGGCCGGGGCTGGCGCGCTGCTCCCTGGCCGCTGCGCTAGAGCTCGGTGCCGCAGCTCCTATCGCATCCCTCCGCCGACCCTTTATCCGCTGGCGCCTCCTCTCTGGCCTTCCGCGTATCACTCCGCCGCGGCGCACCGACCCCCGCCGCTCTCTGCTGCTGCTCGATGGCGCGGAAGCCGCCGCCAAGACCGGGGAGGAAACGAACCGAGGCCGGGGCGGGATCGAACGGGGAGGGACAGGCAGGAGAAAAGGAACAGCGAGGGGAATAGCCAGAGAGGGAGTGGAACTATTTGTCCTGCGGCCGCCGTGCAGAACTCTCCAGAAGGGGGAGGGGGAGAACGCGGAAGGATACGACGGCGGCGCTGGCAGTGGCGTAGCCGCCACGCTTTTGACGGCGGCTTCTCGCGAGAAGAGGGGGCGGGAAGAAGTTCCGGCCGCGCCGCCGCTGTGGTGATGGGGAATGGCCTGAGGGGGCCCGGTCCTGGTGGCTCAGGCGGGACTCAGCGGCCCGTGTACGGAACCGCGCCGGGAGATGGGGCCCAGGCCGCAGATGTCTCTTCGAGTGCCATGGGGCTGTGCACAGGGTGCCCAGAGAAGCTGTGGCTGCCCCATCCCTGGCAGTGTTCAAGGCCAGGTTGGACACAGGGGCTTGGAGCAAGCTGCTCCAGTGGAAGGTGTCCCTGCTGTGGCAGAGGTTGGAGCTGGATGAGGTTTAAGGTCCCTTCCAACACAAACCAGTCTAGGATTTGACAAATTCATTTTTAGTCCTGGGAGGACACATGGTCAAAGCACATCAAGTAGGCCATGGCATGGCTGTGTAATAAAGCTTCAACCCATCACACATGCTTAAAATAGTGACAGATCTCCAGTGCTACAACCACAGTGTGGGGTGAAGAACACAAGGCTCAGTACCCATCAGGCAGCATGGAGGAAGCTGAAGGCTCTCCAGCAGCAACAGCATCAATAGCCGTGGTGAGCAGAAGTTTCTTCCATCCAGGTCATTTCCATCCAGCATCTGCATGAAGAAACCCCAACATGGGCAAAACCAACAACTGTTCTGAGGTGACCGAGCAGCTCGTGTCAAAGGGACTTCATCCAGTGGTAAACCTGATGGGTACCAACAAGCTGAAGAGTTCTGTGCAGCCTCAGTGAGCCCCTGCGCCTGTACCCATGTCCTGTTTGTGTAACTGCACTGTCAGAGCACGATGGGAACTGCCATGAACAGTCAGCTCAGAGCAAAGGGCAGCTTCCCTCCAGGTCCGAATCACTCAAACCAGTGAAGGAGGCTGGGAACAGGAGGAAGGAGGCAGGGAATAGGACGCTGCTTGGGATAAGGAGTGCACCCAATCAAACAGGGTTCAGGCTGACAACCAAACTGCCTGCACTACACACACCCATGGGACATCTTGTAATAGCAAGATGTTTTCAAATCTACATCAAATGAGGGCTGTTTCTGTCGCTCCTGCTTTTCTTCCTGTCGCCAGCTTCGGATCGTGAGATGGATCATGGGACTTGGTCTCCATCCTGGGCTTGTGGTGGGCTTCCAATCGCTTCCAAGTTGGCAATCCTGCTACCAGGGCAAGTAGGAAAATGCCAAGAGCATTTTTAATCAGGATTGGAAGATCAGACTTCCCAAAAACCCATCCTGTTTTATTTCTTTACAGGAAAGACTGGTTTTCTATGTATTTCCCTCATGTAGCTAACATTTTTAGTGGATTATACTGTTTCTCTGTTACTACCTGTCTTCCCCTCACCCAGTACTGCAGCAAGGTTGGTTTTCACTGTTCTGGTCAATCTCACACCTTCTGTGCATCTCTTGGCAGAGAGGGATGAAAGGCTCAAACAGGAGGCTTTAGAGGCTGGTGGCTTTAGCACAGGGTATGTTTTCAGTTAATTTCTCTGTTCTCCTTCACACTTGGTATGGAGAAAATAAATCACTGATTCATAAAAATGGGGTTTGGGGTGGTGTGTGCTTCAGTTACTTTTGTGCTTTCTGGCTTTTTCCCCTTTTCTGTCACCTTTTGAGTTGCTGAACACCCCTTGGTTGCGGAAGAGCAGAGAACAACCACAAGGAAGGCTGCTGTCCTTCCCTGCCACATCACTCTACACCAGTACGGGGAGCTGGAAATGCTCAGATAATGCTAACCCCAAGTAGTCCTGGCCCTTATGGCTCCCCCAGTCGTGGGACAGAGACACAACTGCTTTTCTTCCGATGTTTTTGTATAATCCCAGAATCCCAGGCAGCTTTAGGTTGGAAGGGACCTCAAAGCTCATCCAGTTCCAACCCCTGCCATGGGCAGGGACACCTTCCACTGGAGCAGCTTGCTCCAAGCCCCTGTGTCCAGCCTGGCCTTGAACACTGCCAGGGATGGAGCAGCCACAGCTTCTCTGGGCACCCTGTGCCAGCGCCTCAGCACCCTCACAGGGAAGAGCTTCTGCCTAAGAGCTCGTCTCAGTCTCCCCTCTGGCAGGTTCAAGCCACTCCCCTTGGCCTGTCCATTTTCTACTTTCTCTTGTTAGGACATCCTTCTCCCACCTACTACCTTTCTCCCTGCTTCTCTTCCACCTCACTTCCGACTTTTCCAGGTGTCCTGAAGGTTTCAGTCTCTTCCCACCTCTTCCCAAACAGTGTGATAGACCCATATGCACTTTTCTTTACCCTACATGAGCTCATATCCTGGTCCTCTTCTCCAAAAGGATGAGCTCTGCTCCCCAGCACGAGAGAAGATGCTCTGGGCCGCATCTACTGTGACAATTCCTGGCTCTTCCCCATCCATAGCAGCCTCTCCTGCAGACAAAGCACTTAATGCTTAGGCAGGGGCCACCTCTCCATGCTGGTGGCTACTGGCCCTCACCCTGTGCCTAAACTGGCATTTCAGGAGGCATTTCACCTGCAGCTCTGCCTTCACTCTCTCAGCCTGAAGAGCCAGGGCACTGCAGGGTCTTTTGTCCCCACCTGTGCTCTGCTCTCTGTGCCTGCCAACATCATCCTGTGCCAGCATCATCCACTACAAACCAGCAGAGCATCAGTGGAGGAGTTAGCTCAGTCCTGCCTTATCCACACATGCCTCCATGTGTCTTCACCAGCTTCCTCTGAGCAGCTCTGCTCCACAGGGCCAGCTTGCAATGCTGTATGAGGAAAAAAGAAGACTTAGGCATAGTTAGGCAAAGGCTCAAGAACTCAAAGGAGTGCAAACAGCCCGGCCTCACTGGCTAAATCTGATGTTCCTAGACTGGCAACCAGTGAGGCCTTTGTTAGACAGTGAATAAAGCTAAAGGAGGTAAAACACAGGTGGACAAGGAAGGATCCCACTCTTAACCACTGTTTGGTACACACTTCTAAGCTTCAAAGAGAAAAAAATCCCAGAACACAGCTGGAGCAGTGGAGAAAGTGAAGGGTTAGGGAGAAGAAAGCTCTGCCTCTCGGGGAACAGCAGAGGACCTGCACCCCTTCCTTGCCTCCAGAGCTGCTAAACCTTTGTGTCTTTCAAACACAGAGAAGCCACTTTTCCCCTTACTGGTTGGTACTCCCACCAGGAGCAGCTGTGCCCAGAGCAGAGCTGCTCCAGCCCTTGCAGCATCTCCGTGGCTTCTGGACTCACTGCAACAGCTCCACATCCCTCTTGTGATGTTGCCCCATAGTACATCTGTTACTCTGGGTCTGTGGCCACCAGGACCAGGCATCCAAGAGGCTGGAGGGCCTTACTGACCAGCAAGAGCGTGGCTGCAGGGAGTTCCTGTTATGCTGCAGTGTCCATCGGGCACTGCCTCCTGAGTCAGTGCCTCCCGGAGCAGTGTGTGCACCGAGTCCCCCTCTCTTCCAGAAGGAATTTGCTTCTGTTTCACCCCTGGAGAACTGCTGCACTCAGTAAATTAAATCTCCATCAGTTCTTGTGCTCTTCCTTCCTGCAGCTTGGCTAAGCCCTGCTGTGACCTTACAGGTACGTTCGGGCTTCCCAGAAGTCACATTTGAAACCTGCTCCATTCACCAGTGCCTGGGTTTCCTGAGTGCTGTGTATGGGCCGCAGAGTGGGAGGGTTCTGCTGCTCTGCAGGGCTTGATTGCTCCTTTCATTTTCATTTTCCGTGGTGCTGGGAAGTGCAGTTCCACTTGGGGCACCAGGAGCTTGCTAAGGCGCTCCAGGTCTTTGTGTGCAGCAGCAGCCACCCAGGCTGGAGCACTGAGCCCATGAACCCCGGTGCAGGAAGCCCAGGCAGCAGGTCGTAGCAGCTGAGGTGAGTACAACAAGGAGCACTCCCTGCTCCCCCAGGCCCTGTGGCTGTAGAGCAGGAAGAGCTGGCATGAGGATGAGATTTGGGAGTGGGGTGGCCACCCAGGCCCTGCTTGCCAAGCCCATTTGGGCACAGGGAGCTGCCCTGGGCAGCGCACGAGGGAGCCTCCCCAGAAGCAACTGCGTTTCAGCGGTATGGAGAGGGCTCTGTTGCAAGCTTTGGGATGCTCAGTGAGCACTGAATGTTTGTGTGTCCCCCTTCTCCACTCCCCACAGTGGGTGCTGGGGAGAGTGGTCACTGCTGACCCCTGCTCTCTGCCGCAGATGTCTCGGGGACCGTGGTGGCCTCAGCGCCGCAGCACCCTGCTCATCCCCAAGGCGCGGGGAGGCCGAGCACAGGGCGCCATGTACCTGCTCCTGGCTGTGTGTGCCGCAGCGCTGTACCTGACCGGGGAGCCCCTCGTGCCCACCGCCCGCAGCCTCACCCACCACTTTCTGGCCCTGCAGATCGGGGTGCTGCTCAAGGGCACCTGCTACCTGGCAGAGGAGATCTTCCACCTCCAGTCCAGGTGAGACAGCCTGGCAGGGGTTCCATCCCAGGCTTCAGGGCCACCCTGGGGACAAGGACATAGCCTCTGGATGTTGGGGAGGCATCTGCCCCTCTATCCCACTTGAGCTCTCTGTGGCAACGGTCTGCTGAGCCTCAGCAGCACACACTGCTCTCCATCAGCCTGCCATCTCCCTCATCTTCCTCCCTTTCTTTCTCTCCCCCTCTCCTAACTGCCCAGCTCACATCCAGCATGGACCTGACCTCTCCTCTCCTTTCCTCTCCTCTCTTCTCCTCTCTTCTGGTAGGTGCCCAGTGTGCCCTTTCCCTGTGTAACAGACCTCAGCCCCCAGCCTCCGCCTACCACTCTGTACAGGTGGGCATGGAAGTATTGGAGATAGTCTCCCCTTGCTGTCCAGTGTGACACTGCATCTCCTCCCCTCTGACACCCATGGGTGCTGCAAGTGACCCAAGCTCTGTCAGGGCTGGAGGCACCCGGTGTACACTGAGCAGGGTCTCACAGGGCTCCAGAAGTCAGCAGCACTGGCAGGGAGTGGGAGCATCCCCTGGCCAGTGCCCTGTGTGCTGCAGTGGTTGCTGTCTCCTGTCTCCCTGTCCCCTGCAGGCACCGCGGCAGCTTCTGGAGGGTGCTGAGCGCGTGCTTCCCGCTGCGCTGGCCCACACTGATCCTCTGCACCTTAGCATATGTGGCTCTTCTCGATGAAGACAGGCACAAGCTTGGCCTCCACCTCGGCCTGGCTGCCCTGTGCTATCTCCTCAGCATCACCCTGGGGCTTCACGTAAGGCACCAACACCTCTGACCTGGCTGGCTACCCGGGGAGCACTTTGAGTCCTAAGCAGTGGTGGGGGCACAAGGCCCAGGTCTGTGCAGCCCCTGCACATACAGCCCATACACATCCTGCCCCGCAGCAGGAGAAACAACTCTCATCAGCTTGGCCCTGAAGGGCTGATCTCCTCAACCCCATGCTGCCATGCTATAGGCAGGAGTTGCCAGGCTGCCTTTGAATGAGCACAGCCCTGCCAGGGTGCTGGCAGCAGCCCTCAACAACCAGAACCCCACTGACACAAAAACCCAGGTATTTTTAAATGTGCCAGTCAGGCTGGTGCTTGAGGGAAAGGGTGGCTCTGTGGAGTCCAGAGGGTTCATTACAGGGGTGGGGTGTGGGCAGAGCCAAACTCCAGGTACCTCTGCAGCACCCCTTTAAGCTGGGGTAAGCTCTGCTTTACCCCAGCTGAGCTGGATATAGAGAGGGATCATGTAGGCTCAGAAAGGTGTTTTGGGGACTGAACATCCATTTCCACCTAAATCATAGACTCACAGAATCAGACTGGTTTGTGTTGGAAGGGATCTTAAACTCATCCAGTTCCAACCTCCTGCCATGGGCAGGGACACCTTCCACTAGACCAGGTTGCTCCAAGCCCCTGTGTCCAACCTGGCCTTGAACACTGCCAGGGATGGGGCAGCCACAGCTTCTCTGGGCACCCTGTGCCAGTGCCTCAGCACCCTAATGAACACACAGAGCTGGCAGGAGCCACTGGTGGCTCTGGAAACCCCACTACCAGGTAGTGGAATGTCCCCTCTCAGATGCTGGAAGCACTGGGCAGAGCCATAAATTGCACTGGGACACACAATCCCAATTGATGGTGCAGCCAGAAACATGCCCAACTTGCCCCAGCATCATCTGCCACATGTGCATGGGCTGTGGTGGTGGAAGGGGCCACAGGGAGCTCACCCCTAGATCAATTTGCTCCCAATTCCTGCAGAGAACCAAGCACTGAAGAGCCCAGGTGCTGCTTTCACCACACTTGCTCTGTCTTTGTTCCCTCTGCAGAAGCCCTCAGCAGTGGAGGTGTCTGAGATGTCGGAGAGGTCCAAGCAGAACGTCGCTCATGGACTTGCCTGGTCTTATTATGTTGGGTACCTAAAAATAGTCCTGCCACGTACGTAGCTCTTTCCCTGCATTATCATGCCTAGAGATAGAAAAAGCTCCTAATAACAATCCTCCCACTTTTACAGTGTTAGCAGGGAAAGGGGGAGCAAAGCAGAAAGCAGCTGTGCTCACACCAGTCCCCTCTGCCCCATGCTCTCTTCCACCAGGGCTGCAAAAGTCAATGGAGGAATTCAGCAGAGCCAACCCCAGCATGCCGTCATGCAGGGAGACCTGGAAGCTCCACATCTTGATTCCTCTGAGCTTTGACATCTGTGATGACCTGGAGAAAGCTGACAGCAACATCCGGTACCTGACAGACCTCACGGAAACCACTCTGACCCGAGCTGGCACCAGAAACAGGGTCTACAAACACAGCCTCTATGCCATCAGGGATGAAGATAACAAGGTATTGAGTGCAGCGTCAGGCCAGTGGTCATCATGCATCAGCCTAAAAGTCCTCCTGGCCTAGACCCTGGCCCAGAAGCAGCCATAAGGGCAGGACAGTGTCCCCTCTTCTCTTAGACACTCCCAGCTTTCAGCAGGCTTCTGTGAGATGGAGAGGTCCTGGTCAATGAAGCCCATCTGCATGCATTCCTGCTGACTGCCTCCTCCCAGGCTCAGCCCTTTCAGGGATGTTGGGCTCACTTAACCCCTCTGGGAGCACATGTGAGTCCAGAAAGCAGCAGAGACCTGAGCAGCAAGCAGCAGCTGTGGGGTACAGAGCATCACTTCCCATGGGATAAGTGAATATTTTTGTTGTGAAGACGTGCTTGAAGATGTCTGTGTGAGTCATTACATCATTTGACTCTCTCCCAATGGCCCAGTCACCTCTTTTTCAGGCTGATAAGCCCTAAATCCCTTCATCTCACACTGCACTCATCTCCTTCCACATCTCCAGGCAGTTGGGCCTCTGTGGAGGAGGGAACACACTGGTCCTGCTGACACAGCCATGGATGGAACTGTTGGCAAAGCAATGCTTCCCAACTGGGTCCCCCTAATTGGCCTTTTGCTGGTACCTGAGCACTGAGTTGCTGCCTGCAGGGGCTCCAGAGCCTCTTTTCTAGCCCTGCTTCTGGGAAAGTGCACTCAGCATCGGGCTTTTCCTGCCACGATGCACACAGATGCTGTATTTCATCTGCCAGCCTCCTGCTGAGTCACTCGGCTCCAAGTGAGCTCCAGCAGCTCTGCAGCCTGGACCTGTCCTGACTGTGTGCTGTCAGTAAAACCCACACCTTGGCACCAGCACTCGGTCACTGGGGCATCTCCCTCCCAAAGCTGGAAGCATTTTCTACAATTTACCCAGGCATCCCTTCTCTCTTCATTCTAATACTTTCCTACACTTTCCAGTTTACCCAGTATAGGACTTACTGGCAAACCTACTCCTCCTTGGAAGTCTTATGGCTTTAAAAAATCACATTTGTTCCATCAGCCTCCTTCTAGCTGTGCCTTCATCTTGCCAGTGTTTATCCTCTTCTCCATTCTCCTGTGCTCCATTAGGATGCTCAGACTTCCACTTGTCCGGCAGAGAAGCCACAGAGAAGGTGTGATCAGACAGTTCCAACCCCCTGCCACGGACAGGGACACCTTCCACTGGAGCAGCTTGCTCCAAGCCCCTGTGTCCAACCTGGCCTTGAACACTGCCAGGGATGGGGCAGCCACAGCTTCTCTGGGCACCCTGTGCCAGCGCCTCAGCACCCTCACAGGGAACAGCTTCTGCCTAAGAGCTCATCTCAACCTCCCATTAGTCCAGCACGTAGCACCAGGACAGGGCAAGTTGCTGCTGAGGTGTCTTGAGGGCTCTGCCCAGCACCAGAGTCCCCTGGCAGCCCTTTGCTGGGTATTTGGTTCTCGTGCCCTCATGTCTTTTTCTTCCTTCCCTGCAGCTCTGGCACTGTGCAGTGGAATATGCCACCCCGCTGCAGTCCCTCTATGCCATGTCCCAGGATGAGTGTGCTGCCTTCAGCCGGGAGGACCGCCTGGAACAGGCCAAGATTTTCTACAGGACCTTGGAGGAGATCCTGAAATGCTCCAAGGACTGCATGGGTACCTACCGGCTCATTGCCTATGAGGGTGAGTGAGGAGGCAGGAGGGTGCCCACATGGTGGCTGTGCTCTCCCAGCCCTTGAGTGAAGTCAGATCAGGGCAAACAAGGGGAAGTGGGCCATGGAGGTGCTGCGAGGGCTGGAGCAGCTCTGCTCTGGAGCCAGGCTGAGAGAGCTGGACTGGGTCAGCCTGGAGAAGAGAAGGCTCCTGAAGGGGAGACCTTAGAGCAGCTCCAGTGCCTAAAGGGGCTGCAGGAAACCTGGAGAGGGGCTTGGGACAAGGGCCTGTAGGGATGGGACAAGGGCCTGTAGGGACAGGACAAGGGGAATGGCTTTAACCTGCAGAGGGGAGACTGAGATGAGCTCTTAGGCAGAAGCTCTTCCCTGTGAGGGTGCTGAGGCGCTGGCACAGGGTGCCCAGAGAAGCTGTGGCTGCCCCATCCCTGGCAGTGTTCAAGGCCAGGTTGGACACAGGGGCTTGGAGCAAGCTGCTCCAGTGGAAGGTGTCCCTGCCCGTGGCAGGGGGCTGGAACTGGATGAGCTTTAAGGTCACTTCAACCCAAACCTGTCTGGGATTCTGTGATTCCAGGAGTTCAGGAGAGACATTTTGCCTTCTCATCTTCCTTTCATTTCCCTTCTCCACACCTCCAGAGCAGCAGGGCTTGACAACAGCTTTGTGCTTCGAGATGGAGTGAACCTCATTGTTTTTCAGAGGAAATTCAGGTCTCTCCCTGAAGGGGAGAAGCATTTCTATCCAGCGAGGTAGTTCCCACCAGAACATGGTGCCTGTATTTCACTCTCCTTCCTGCACTTTGTCTTTTCACTTCTCTCTTCTGACAAGCTGAAAGGAGGAAGCAAGAACCATGTTTTGACTTCCCAGGGAATGCTGTGTATGCAGAAACTGCCCTCTGCCCAGCCCCCTGCCTTGGGCTGACCAGTGAAGGTGGGTTTTGTCTGTTTCTGTTCCAGAGTCAGGAGAAGCAGAGCCCCACTTCTTGTCCAGAGAGATCCTGTGGCACCTCCAGCAGCAGCACTGTGAGGAGTACACAGTGCAGGAGGAGAACGCCCCCCACACCCCATCCACCACCCTCGACTCAGCAGAGCTCAGCCTTCAGATCAGCAGCTCAGACCTGCCACATCCACTGCGAAGTGATGGCTTCTAAAGCACCTAAAGCACTGCCCAGCCCCACACCGTCCCCTTGGGCCTGCCTCCAGCCCCTTTCATCTGCAGCAAGTGCTGCTCATGGCAGCGAGCCCCAGCCTCCTGCAGGAACTGCCCACCAAAGCTTCCTGTGCATCATGGTTACTGGAAACTGCTGCCTCAAACCACAGCCCTGTGACACACTTTCTATCTTCCTTATGTCCATCTCATGTAGTCATCTCTGAGTGTTTGGGTTGTTCCAATCTGCTTTGATTTGTGTCATATAAAGCATTTTCCTCTGGGCAAATTGTGTTAATCCCAAATCTCTGGCATAACGTGCAGCCTGCCCTTGGTGATCCTGTGGTGCTAGATAGGGCTATGGAAATCCCAGCCACGAGTATGGATGTGTGTGCTGGGTCCAATACATCCTTCCACCCTGGCTTCACTAATCTCACGATTTCTGCAGGCACAAGGACTACATGCAGGATTTAAGGGAACTCTCCAGCCTAATGAACCCACTGTGCGCTTACACACAAACTGCCTCAATTCCACCCATTTGGGATGTGGAGGACTGACACTGTCTGACAATTGGTGGTTCCAAAATGCCAGAAACCTCCCTGCCTTTGCTCCATCCAGTAATTTCCATGCCCACATTGCTCCCAAGGACCCCAGAAAAGTGTTTCTCCAGGCCCAAAGGACTTGCCAGATCCCTGGAGCTCTGGGAAAGGTGCAGGATGCAGTCCTGGGACAACATTCATAGGGGGTTAGGTGCAAGATATCCCATGTCTGAGCTGCTCAGCCCTCTGTGCTTGAGGGTGAGATGTCCCCAACAAGTCCAGCAAGACGGGCCTTCCCTAACTATTTGGGCCTCAGCTAGTCAGGCAGAAGCAGGACAGGGGACAGAGCCTGCTCCAGAGGGACTGCCAGGGGCAAGGAAGTGGCCAAGAAACAAGGTCCCCACGGTCAGCTGCTGCCAGAAGCCTTCCCAGCTGGGGAGATAGCAAAATCCCAAAGGGGCTACAAGAAACCTGGAGAGGGGCCTTGGACAAGGGCCTGTAGGGACAAGACAAGGGGAATGGCTTGAACCTGCCCGAGGGGAGACTGAGCTGAGCTCTTAGGCAGAAGCTCTTCCCTGTGAGGGTGCTGAGGCGCTGGCACAGGGTGCCCAGAGAAGCTGTGGCTGCCCCATCCCTGGCAGTGTTCAAGGATGGGGCTTGGAGCAAGCTGCTCCAGTGGAAGGTGTCCCTGCCCATGGCAGGGGTTGGAGCCAAATGAGCTTTAAGGTCCCTTCCAACCCAAACCAGTCTGGGATTCTGTGATTTCAGCCACTGCTGAGACAACTACAGTTCCTTCTGCATCTCCTAAGCTTTCCTTCCCAGGATAAAACTGCTCTTATCTGGCAGCTGCCCCTCAGCACAGCACCCCAGGTAGGTATCAGGGCTTCGTCTTCCATGCCTGTGGCAGAACATGGTGGGAGATGCCTCTCCCCAGCTCCAAGCTGTCAGAGGATATTTGGCTGCACGTTGGTCCTGCTGGGAGTGGGAATTGGAACCCATTTCAGGACTCGGTAAAACCTTAATCTGCAGCATAATCCCTGGGCAGTGCATCTGTGCAGGAGACAAAACCGGCAGATGAAAGGGCTGTTAAGGGAGGGTTTGTGACAGCAAAGACCAAGAGCCACCTCCTCTCAGCCTTGTGGCTTGCAGAGGTGATGGGGATCTTTGCCAAGGCCTCCAGGATGTGCTGAGTGCCGGGTTCTGCATTGGCCACAGGGGGAGAGGGGAAAATTGCTGCAGCAGGGGAGGGACCTCCTGCTCCTGGTAGGAGACACATACCCCGGGGTGCAGGGAGCAGAGTGATACGCCTGAGGGGACAGGGCATGGTCCTGATCCCCACATCCTGTTTCAGAGCAGTGTTCCAAGGGCACAGACCTAACGCTGTGGGTACCTCCTGAGTCTCAGGATAAATGTGTGGCATCAGGGCTGAGCTCAGAACACAGGAACAGCCAGAAGCAGCAGCGTGGTCTTGCCAGCGTGGTCATTTTCCTCCAGCACTGCTCCAGAGCCTGTGTAGCCTTTCCCTTCCCTCAGGATGAAGGAGAGGCATCAGGGAGCAGCAGACCCACACCCCAGACAAAGGCAGGGAGCAGCAATGCCACCACAGCTCAGTCAGGTGAGCTGAGCAGGCCCGAGGTCCATCACCCAGCAACAGGCAGGTCCACGGGCCAGTTGTCAGTGGGTGTCTGGGTGAGCTAGGCACAACATGGCTGCACCCTCCCTGCAGCCAAGGCTGAGCTGGGATGCCAAGGACAAGGCTTCTCATACCCTTTCCTCACATCTTTGCTGTTCTTCCACCAGGCTTTGTTAGTACCATTTGGATGTAAATAAGCCCAGCTCCTGCTCATTTGCAACCAATGGCCAGCCCTAGGCATCCTTTCTGAGGCATGCTTTGCTCTCTCCTCCTTGTGGGCACCAGAAATCACTATTAACTGCCCGTAGCAATCCATCCTGCTCCATACAGCAAAGAGGCTTATTTTTTAACCTCGGAGTGGCTGATACTTGGGCTGTCTCCAAGCCCCACTGCAGAGCAGCCGCTTGGGCTTTTACCATGAACTTAGACAAAGTGACCAGTGCTACATGAGATACATGTGCCTGTTACAAGAGTGTCTTTACTCCTGCACTTGTATGTCTTCCCCTTTTCCTGGGGTGAGAAGCCAGAAGTGTAGCCTGACCTGCCATATGTGCAAATACAGCAATTGTCTGGGTCAGGCAGATGGGGAAGATGGAGAAAAAAATGGTCTGAATTTGTGGTTTTTGAATGGCGAATTTAGGAATTCTTCTTATGGAGTTTGCACCCCCCCTTACTGCCAAAGATCCCTCTGAACTCTCTCTCTGGAAGGATGTGTGTATTAAACATCACTGCACTGGAAGACCCAGACGTTTTCAGGCTGACTCCAGCTACATGGACTCTCAGTCCACGTAAAAGACAGGGATGGAGCTCAAAGCTGCCATGCCCTTGTTGAGGATGGGAAGTGGTTTTGGCTCAGGAGCCATTTCCATCTCATACAGCCATGGTGGGAGGCAGGAGCACTGGGCACTCACCATGAGCTTGGTGTCAGCACAGTGTGCCTGGTGAAAGCAAAGCAGCACCTCTGAGAAGCCCCTTTGTGACTCTGGATCTCAAAGACTAGAAAGGAGAGCTCCTCTGCTTCCATTTTACTGCTGGGTTTGGGGCTGACAGGTCAGTGTCTGTATAAGTACTGAGAGCGGGTCCCTGTAAATATAGGCACCAACATCAGTGCTAATTTAAAGAACAACTATTGGCAATTAAAAGATGCCTCACCATCCAGCTTCCTGCTTCTTTAAATGACACAAAACCAGTGATGGAGCATCAACAGAGACATTTCCCTCCTGGTTTTAATCGGCTGCTGTGGAGAATAAGGAATGGTTTCATGCAGCCACAGTAGTGACTGCATCCAGTTTGCTGTGCCCCCTGCTGTGAGATGCTCTGTGTGAGAGGCACAATCGTTTGGGAGCAAAAACCATCATCCAGCTCTTCTGGGAAATATCCTCCATATTCGTGCTGGTTTGCAATGGATGCACCTCAGACCAACAAGTGTTTCTGTTGCTTCTGATCCAGTGCTAAACAGCAAGAAAACTGTAGAGACCTTTTGTTGTTCATCAACAACAAAACGCGGCCTTTATTGCCAGCTGGTTCCTTCAGTGGTGACTCCTCTCGGCTGGCTTCAGACCTGATGTTCCTCTCGAACATGCCTACTAAAACCGCATCATCTTCTGCTTGAGGTCGGTGACTGGTCCACCTTTCATGAGGAACCAGCTTCAGGTGAGCAGCAACCACCGCTCAACAGGGCTGTGCTGCCCTCAAGTGTTGCTTTTTAACCACATCCCAGTTCTCAGCCTGCACCAAGTTGTGCTTTCCCGGTTTTGTAGTTGTGCTCCAAGAAAGGCCCTTAATTCACATCAAGTATTCTCATTTCACCTTTCGTGTAGTAGAAGTCCTGTTTGAAAAGCGGGTTGGTGTGAAGGGCTGAGGGAAATGGCTCACCCATGCCTGGTGCTACAACTTCTCATGCTGCAAAGCACAGCAGACAGTGCTTGGGATGTCAGTGAGCGATGGACTCACATCTCTTGGATTTATACTGGCTAGGAGTTAACTGCCTCTGCTTCCTGCTGCAGCTGCTACTGCCCCCAAGGTCCCTTTCGTTGCCTCTTCCCAGTGGCTCAGTGGGAGCAGGGTAATGCCTAAATTCAATTTATTAATTAATATATAAATGTATATATTATACATAATAATTATCGCATTATATATTGTATCATATATAATAGTATGCATTTTATATATAAATACTTTATAAATTAATTAAATTAAATGAGCACCAGCAGCAGTCCAGAAGCCCTCAAAGGGCTCAGTGCTCGTTCATGCGGCCTGGTTTAGTGCACAGCTCTGCCTGAAAAGTCACACCTTCAGACCCTTAAGCCTTTACATCCTGGGATAGCACCCATTGGGATAACATATATGTAACCCTCTATATCCCGATTTCTAATTAAGGTTAGCCAAGCATCTGAAATCTTCATTTCAAACATGCACTTCTCATTCCTGCCTCTAGCTCTGCAGTGCCTGTTTCCCAAGCTGAAAGTGCTGCAGTTCACGTCTCACTGGCATCTTCTGCAATGTGCTAGATGCAGTGTGGTCCCCAGCACGACTGTGAGGTGCTTAGGTCTCACAGAAAGGGGAACAAGCAATGGGGAAACAACCTAAAGCCCCAAGTGGGGATGAAGGGCTACTTTGGGGTGCCAGGCTGGGTCACAATTGGCTCAGGGGTCCACAGGGTCCCTTCCAGTGGCAGTTCTTTACTAACCCAAGCCTCTTAGAGAGAGAACTGCAGCTCCAGTCTCTAGGTAGTAACTTGAAGGTTTTAGGGGGTCACTTTTGTCCTTTTCTCATCCCCAATGGTGCTGGGGTTTGCAGGAAGAGCAGGAGCCAGCCCACTGCTCCCATCACCACCGAGTGTCCCCATACCCAGCCAGTGTGGCTTGAAGCTGCTCAGGGCAGGAGTGACGCTGCTGACCATGGATGTCTGTGCCCAGCCAAAGAGCTCTGACATCTGAGCTGCTGTGACCACAGAGGAAGGAGCCCACAGAGGTGCCTGCACAAACACATCCTGCTCCAGGAAGGAAAGGAAGAGAGGTTAATGAGGTTGGGTCATGTTTTGTCTCCTTTTCCTGTGTCTGGTGCTGCCCCTGGGCTGGACACTGCCTCATGAAGCCAGACACTCTTATCTCTTTAGCAGGAAAGAGCCAGGGGCCATTGCCTCCATCTCTTGCTACTGGGCAAAGGATGGCTGTCTTGTCCTGGGGCCAGGGCAGAGATCGTGAGGCACAGGATAAGGTATCACACTTGGAATCAAACACGTCCTGCCATTTGTACTCGATACCAGCACCCGACTCTGCTGCTGTCCACCAGGCCCACACCAGCTCCTCCGTGGGGCTCCCTCCTCAGCATCACCCACCACCGGACGCCTCTGAGGGGAGGCGGCGCTCCCGCCATCACGCCGGCAGCCAGCCAGACCCCGCCCCGCCTCAAGATGGCGCCGGGCGGGCCGGCTGCGGGAAGGGCGCGTAGGTTGTCACCGCCCTCGCCAGCAGCCAATCAGCGCCCGGCAGCGCATGCGCGGCGGGTGGTGCCTGTGCTAAGATGGCGGACGATAAGGTGAGTGGAGCGGGGTGGCGGGAGCGGCCTGGCCGGGGCTGAGGTAACGTCGCGTTGTCCCTCCGTCGCCTCGCATCGGCCTTCGTGTTCCCCCTCAGGACTCGCTGCCGAAGCTGAAGGACCTCGCTTTCCTGAAGGACCAGCTGGAGAGCCTGCAGCGCAGGGTGGAGGACGAGGTGCACGCAGGCGTGGGGCAGGTAACGCTCTCCCCTCGCCCGTGTGGTGCCTGGGGCTCGCCGGGCCCCGCTTCTGAGGGAAGCTGTGTCCCCTGCGCTGCCCGCCCGCCTCACTCTTGGCTCCTTTCCTCAGGATGGCTCGCTGCTGGCGTCGCCTTTCCTCAAAGGCTTCCTGGCAGGCTACCTGGTAGCCAAGCTCCGCTTCTCTGCCGTCCTGGGCTTCATGGTCGGGACCTGCACAGGGATTTACGCTGCTCAGAACTACGCCGTGCCCAACGTGGAAAAGACAATCCGGGAATATGTCAGTTCCTTGAAAAAGGGCCGGGACTAGCGAGGAGCCCCTTGGCAGCAGTGACTGTAGAACAGTGTTCCTTAGTTAGCAGGCACACGGGATTCCTAGGGCTGACAGAGGCAACAGCACGGCCACCGTTCTTTTCCACTGGAAAAGGGCTTTACACCACATCATTGCGAGACATCAGCAGGTCTGGTTATGGGGTATTTATTATTGTGGCAGCAGTGATCACTCCACTAACGCACAGTAGCTTGGAAGCACCAGCAGCCCAGGGTTCTCCAGCTGCTGTTAACCCTCACCTCTCTCCCCATGCCCCTGTGAAGGGCTGCCTTTGACATGTCAGCACACTCACCACACATCCCTCCTGCTGAGCGCATGCTTTGCCTTAGGAACATGCTTGGTGTGGCTTCCAGGGGAAGCTTGTTCTCTTCCTTATGAAAACCAAAATCATTCTCCTCTGCTGCATCAGAAATGTAGCAGGTAACGTCTTAATCAAGCTCATTAAATTCATGGTATTTGGTCTGTTCTTGACAGTTCTAGGCTGCGGGTCTGTCTGGCCTCTCTGTACTGAGAGCAGCTCACCCTTGCTGGCTACTGCTTGAAAATGGTGATGTTTGGTAACGCTGCTGCCTCTGCAAACAGGGTGCTCCAGAGGGGCCTGTGGGGACTGATGCTGCTCTTGTCTGTAGTCATATACGGCTCTCATGCCCCTCTCCTGACCCAGTGTAAGGTGGATGGGGTGATCCCCTTCAGCTCCACGTCTGTGGTGGTTCTTGTCGAGCTGACAAAGCTGGTGTTCTCCCTCCTGTTCCTGCTGACCTGGGACCGGGAGCTGCTGGGAGTCACTCTGTCGTGGCACCACGTTGCCCCATTTGGCCTCTCTGCCCTGCTCTATGCTGCCAACAACAACCTGGTGGTTCACATGCAGCTCTTCATGGATCCCAGCACCTACCAGGTCTTGAGTAACTTAAAGATCGTCAGCACCGCACTCCTCTACAGCCTCTTCCTACGCCAAAGACTCAGCATGCGCCAGTGGCTGGCTCTTCTGCTGCTGCTGGCTGCTGGGGTGAGCTACAGCTGTGGGGGCCTGCAGGACCCTGGCAGCCCCTCCGAGATGAAGCTGCACATCACACTGGTGGGCTTGGTGCTGATCTCAGTGTACTGCCTGATATCAGGCTTGTCTGCTGTCTACACAGAAGCCATCCTGAAGACCCAGGCGCTGCCTCTCAGCCTGCAGAACCTCTTCCTTTACTTCTTTGGGGTCCTGCTCAACTTGATCGGCTACTTCTGGAGCAGCACAGAGGGTGGTTTCTTGGAGGGCTTCTCCTCCTGGGTGCTGGTGATCGTGGTCAGTCAGGCTTTGAATGGCTTGATCATGTCTGTGGTGATGAAGCACAGCAGTAACATCACCAGGCTCTTCATCATCTCCTGCTCTATCCTGGTCAACGCCCTCCTGTCCGTCACCCTCTTCAATCTGCAGCTCACCCTCCTCTTCTTCATTGCTGTTTTGTGCATCGGCCTCGCTGTTCACTTGTACTATGGGCTCACGTAGGTGCTGCCTTCCTGCCCTTCGTGTGCCGAGGCAGCCTTTGATTGTTCCTCAGGGGTGTTTGGTGCTGGTGCTGAAAGCACAGCCGTGCTCTGCCCATCTGCCTCCCTGCCCTCGTGGTTGTGGGGAGTCACTACTGGTGGGTGCATGCACGGAGTGCTGAGGACGAGAGTGCTCTGTTCCAGAGGGAAAGTTGTGTCCTATTCCAGCTCTGTGCCTTGGGATCCCTGTGCAATCAGTCATGCCCAACCTCGAGGGTCCTGAGCCTCTGGTTTGTGTGGTATCTTGTGTTCTAAAGCTGCTTCCCCAGTGTATCCATCTCTTGTGCCTGTGCTCCTGCAGCGATTAGCTCTGCTGTGGGCTGCCAGACCAGCGTTGGGCTGATGCTGTTCCAGCTCTTGTGGATGGTGCTAGTGCCAATCATCAGCACAAAGCTGGGTGCTGCTTCCTGCAGAGCCTCACACTGTGTCTGAGGGCATCTCTAACACTTCTTTCTCCAGCCCTGGCTGAAGGGCTGCTGTTCTTAGGCTCCATTTCCCCTCCTCAGGTGTGGTGTTACTGCTCTCTATGGAGCTGTTGGGGAATGGGGGGATATGGGAACTGTGTCACTTGCATCCCAAAATGGAGACAGCACCCAAGTTTGTACTGATGCTGTAGCTAGTGGTCTCCTGGCATGCCGAAATCACTGCTGGCTTTGGCTGGGGTTATTAAAGTTGTGATACAACAGCACATGTGTGTCTGTCCTCCATGCAGGAAGGAGCTTGCGTGACAGAGGTTTGGGGGCCAGGCACATGACACTCATCAGTGAGGGCAAATGCTTTATTCATGGAATCCCAGACTGGGATGGGTTGGGAGGGACCTTAAAGCTCATCTAGTTCCAACCCACCAGCCCTCCCACCCTGCTTCTGCAGCCCCTGCTCCTGCAGCCTGTGCCCAGCAGCAGAGCAGGGCAGAAGGGTGAAGTGCTTTCCCCACGGCCTTTTTGCTAGGAGCCACCCTCCCTGGGTCCAGTTTTCCACAGGGAGCAGGCAGGACGCGAAGCCTTGCCCTGTGTAACCACTGCAGCTGGGGCTGGCCAGTCCCCTGGTATGAGGGCTGGTGGTTCACTCAATGGAGGGGGCTGAGGTGTCAGGGTCTCCAGGGACACCAAAGCGTCCCCACTGCCCTGGGGTGCTGGCTCAGGGTGTCTGTGTGGAGGCATCGGCTGATCCCGTGCCCCTGGCCTGCGGCACCTCCTGCAGCAGCACCTGGTGCCAGCGGTCCAGGGCCTCCCTCTGCTCCTCTGCCAAGTGCTGCTGGTCCCGGAGCACCTGCGGGATGGGGGGGGGCTGCCCAGGACAGCTCTGCCAGGCCGGAGCAGTGTTCCCAGCCCTCCCTGCCCATCTCACCTGCAGCAGGCGCTGCCTGCAGCACTGCAGCTCCTGCCGGTGGCTCTGCAGCAAAGCTTCCAGGTCCCGCTCAGCCGCGTCCTGCTGCTGCCGTGCTGCCTCCAGGCTCAGGCCCAGCATGGTCACCTCCTGCTGCCAGCGAGCTGCGTCCCACTGCAGAGACACCCGTGAGGACAGGGAAACTGGAGCGTCTCTGCTCCTGGGGCTGCCCTGCCCTGAGAGACAGCCCGGAGCCCACAGTGACGGGTTCCCTGCTTGAGTGGGTCCAGAGGAGGCCATGGAGATGCTGCGAGGGCTGGAGCAGCTCTGCTCTGGAGCCAGGCTGAGAGAGCTGGGCTGGGGCAGCCTGGACAAGAGAAGGCTCCTGAAGGGGAGACCTTAGAGCAGCTCCAGTGCCTAAAGGGGCTGCAGGAAACCTGGAGAGGGGCTTGGGACAAGGGCCTGTAGGGACAGGCCAAGGGGAATGGCTTGAACCTGCCAGAGGGGAGACTGAGCTGAGCTCTTAGGCAGAAGCTCTTCCCTGTGAGGGTGCTGAGGCGCTGGCACAGGGTGCCCAGAGAAGCTGTGGCTGCCCCATCCCTGGCAGTGCTCAAGGCCAGGTTGGACACAGGGGCTTGGAGCAAGCTGCTCCAGTGGAAGGGGTCCCTGTCTGTGGCAGGGGTTGGGACTGGGTGAGCTTTAAGGTCCCTTCCAACCCAAACCAGTCTGGGATTCTGTGATTCTTCCTGTGCCCAACTCCTTGCTCTCCTCTTGGCCTGACAGGGAGCAGAGCCTCCACCCAGAGCACCCAGTGCTGCCAGAGCAGAGGCTGCAGGCCCTGGGCAGTCAAGGACCCAGCACTCACTGTGTCACCCCTCGTCAGATGCGGTGCTTCGCTTGGTGCGGGCTCCTCCAGCAGACTCTGCCCTGTGCTCACTGGGGCTTGGCTGTCCCCTCGCTGGCTGCACTCACTGGCTCCCTGTGCTGGGTGGGGAGAGGGAGGGAAGGAGAATGAGCACGATGTGGTGTGACTGGAGAGAGACTGAGGCCTCTTCCAGCCTTTTCCCACCATGTGAAGCGATGCTTCCTGCCCACAGAGCAGCCACCCAGGCGTGGGGTGCCTGCCTGTCCCCACACTCCAGAGCTGCTGCCCCCAGGCTAATACCAGTCAGGGATACATGGGTCCCAGACTGCTGGTCTGGTGCTGTATTCCTTGCAGAGACCTGGTCTGTGGGAACAGGAGGTGTTATGGGGATGCAAGCAGGACTCAGGGCTTCTCCTGCACCTGGGTTATCCCTGGATGAGGGGGTAATGTCCTGGCCAGTGCTCATCTTTGTAGTGATTTGATGCATTTCACTTGTCCTGAGCATCTCGGCTGTTGCCTGCTTCTTCTCCCACCTTTGGTTCTTCAGCACCTGGAAAAGGGGGTCCTTGCTGGGGTGCTGGAGACCTCCAGGGATACATCTCACCCCAGCTGCCTCACTCCCTAGCAGGGCGCCCTCAGCCCCTGCCCTCAGTGCTGGTGTTGACACCAGGATGGACCTCAGCCCTCATGCTGGTCCCATGTGGTGGCCAGGGGAGTTCCCTCACCCGCAGCTCCCGCAGCGCTTTCCGCAGCTGGGCCAGGGCCACCTCCTGCTCAGGGAGTGCAGCTCCAGCCAGCAGCTCCAGGCGCAGCCCTCGGATCAGCCTCCGACGCGCTGTGATCTCTTGCACAGGGTCCCAGAGCGTGGCTGAGATCCTCCTGGCCACCCCCTTCACCCGCTCGGCCAGCCCCAGGGCCTCCAGGACCTCTTCTCTGGAGGTGTCTGGGACAGGAGCAATCCCTGAGCAGGGACCACAGGGACCCAGCAGCACCTCCCACTGCCTGGCACAGGGTCAGGATGGGGTAAGTGGAGCTGGTTTCCAGCCTCCAACTGCTGCGGTCTGGGGCCAAGTGCCGGGAGTGGGGTGAGGTGGGGGGAAACCACAGGAGGGGACACCCCAAAGCGGCACCCCAATCCCAGGGGTACCTGACAGTGTCACACACAGCAGCAGGAATGTCAGGCTGTTCCCCTCCAGCAACTGCTCCACGACCCAGGGCAGGCAGCCAGTGTAAGGCAGAGGGTGGCCAGTGGCCGGTGCCCTGCATGTGGGACAAGGGGCACCCTAGGAGAGGGATGGGGCTGGGAAGGCTGAGCCCCAACCCATGGGAGCCATGCTGGGAGCAAGCCCATGTCCAGCCTGGCTCCCAGCCAGGTGCTCCCGCTGGGGTGTTGGGGTCTCTCCTGCTTCAAGGGGGTACCAAATCGCCCCTGACCCACAGCAGCACCGCAGGGGTGCCGGGGTAGGGGACATGGCTCAGCCCAGCACAGAGCTGTAGCTCCAGTACGTACAGCCTGGGCCAGGGCCCGGTGGCCCCAGGAGATGCCAGGATCCTGAGGGCCGAGCGCTGGTGCCTGCCTCCTTCCAGCTCCCGCTCCACGGTGAGAGTGAAGAGGCTGCCGGCTCTAGGGAGAGCATCTCTAGAGAGCAGAGCCCAGCAGTGCCCACGGTCATGGCCCAAACCCTTCCCCTCCCTATGGGATATCTGCCCAATCCCTCACCCCTGTGTGGCCGAGCACCCGCCTGCAGGGAGCTCCTGTGCACACCCCTGGAACAGTGCCGGGATGGCTCCCAGCCCCGAGGCATACACACTGATGGCAGCTTGGGCATCGCACACAGCAACTTCCATTGCCTCCTCCACCATCCTGCAAGCAGAGGGAGAACACAGTGAGGATGGCCATGTCCATCCATCTCCTGTGTGCTCCCTGAAGGATGCCCCTGGCCATCCTCTGCTGGGCACCATGCTCCCTGCCTAGCCCATGTGCTCAGTGTTGGGGTATCACCTCCCAGGAGTACCTGCCCAACCACGGGGTATCAGGTACCTACAGGCCCAGGGGTGCAACATCCATCATTTGCAGGGCTCGGCCATCGGGATGAAGCAGGTCCCAGGCTTTGTCATGGCTGCAGACCTGGAATGGGGCTGCGTTAGGCAGAGGGGGGCAAAGAGGGGAGTGCTGGCATTCCCCAGGGATGCAGCCTGCTCATGGCCATGCAAAGGTAAGGGCTGAGAAGGGAGAGATCTCAGGATCCGAAGGTCTGCAGGCTTTGGTCACCCTCTGGCACAGGCCACTGCATGCCAGCACTGGGGCAATGGAGGGAACCCAATGGAATGGAACCCTCAGCCCACCACATCCTGCTCCTGCCCTACCTGGACCAGGCTGACAGTTTGCAGGCTCCGTGCATCACCCCCCAGGGCCTCCAGTTCTTGGAAGATGGTGCTGATGACCTGGGGACAAGCTGGTCAAGCTGGGAGCCTCTGGTTCTTGGCACCCATGGCTGGGTTGCACCCCACAGCAGCAGGACTGGGGTCAGTGGGGTGAGCCAGGAGCTGTCACCTCTCCCTGTGCCCTCACCTGCCAGACGATGCTCTGGCAGGGCAGCTGGGGCCCAGGGCCGTGTGGGTCCCACAGCAGCAGGGTCATGCTGTAGCCAAGGGGAACCAGGGCCAGCTGGGGTCTTGCCAGTGCCAGAACCTTCTCCTGTAGCACAGACATAGCCAGTAACACCGGCATGGCATGGCACAGCCAGCACAGCACAGCATGGCACAGCTAGTACGGCACAGCATGGACACCACGGTGCAGATGGCCCAGCACAGAGGGCACTGCCATGGATTGGGCAGCACAACACAGATGGGGTACATGGGAAGCACAGCACAGGTAGCCTGGTATGGATGGCATGGTGCAGATGGCAGTATGCATGGCACGGCACAGATGGTATGGCACAGTGGTGCACAGCATGCCACAGAGAGCACAGCACGGGCAGTAAGGCACAGACAGCGTGGCATCCACATCCCAGCTCCGCAGAGGAGACAGGGCAGGGGTGAGGAACATCAGCAGAACCACGCACAGGACCAAGGGCTAGGGACGCCAGCACTGCCTGTAACACCTGAGGAGGTGGCAGTGGAGCCCAGTGCCCCCAGCCAACAGCTTGGGCCAGTGTGTCCTTGCTCATCTGGCTGGGGACAGGGGTGCAGGAGGACGTGGTGCCCACAATACCTGTCCTGCATCCAAGCGGAAGACACCATCAATGGAGAAGCAGCTGTCCTGGCATGAGGGAGGGTGACAATGTTCAGCTTTCCCCCATCCCAGTATGACCAGCGCAGGGTAAAGGGAGACTGGGCATGCTGGGCTAGAGATGGCATGGAGGGCTTAGCACAGGTAGGGTTGGGGGGGAAACCCCCTCTGCTATCTGGTAACCTCCAACAGCCCCCCACAAGAGAGTAGACCGTAGGGGTGTAGGGCAGGGATCAAGCCAAGACCTCAGCACCCATCACTGTCCCAAGTGGACAGAGCCCCCCTGCTCCCATCAGTTTCCCCAGGGCCCCTCATCCCCTTGGTACCTGTGTCCTGGCCACTCTCACCTGGGCCTCCTTCCCAGCAACAAGGAGCTTCAGGAGGTCCTCACTGCTGGCTGCACAGCTGTCCCCTGCCCCTGGGAACACTGCGCATGGGCTGGTGTGGGGGGCATCACCCCCTGCCCCAGCTCTGCTCCTCCTGATGCTGCCTGGAGCCGGGTCCCAGACATGTGGTTCCCAAGCCCTCGCACCGTGACCACAGTGCTCAGAGCCACCAGGACAGGGAGGATACCCCCTCCCCATCACCACTGCCCAGGCCAGGCCCACCAGCACCAGTTCCCTGGCATGGGGGTTCACGCTGAAGGCCCTGAGGTGCTGAGCAGGGCTCTACCTGCTGCCTTGTGCAGTCCCACGGCCGCTTTCACACACACATCCTGCTGGGACATAGGGCAGAGGGAGATGAGCTGGGTCCTGCCCCACACACCCAGGCGAGCCCCCAAACCACCCTGTGATGTCCCCACGATGGCACTCACCTCCCCAGCGGCCATGGCCAGCTCAGCAGTAGCTGGACAGGGCAGGGGATGGGGTTACAGGGCGGGATCCTGTTCCCCTGCATTATTAATGGGATGTTGAGGCTGAGCAGGAGCATGGGAGACAAGTGCCTGGACCCATTCACTCCTGGCTCCAAGAGGGACATCTTTGCAAGGCAGGGGTGGGATGTGAGGGGCCTTGGACTAACATGAAGGTTTCCTAGGCACAAGGAGCAAGCAGCAACCACTGTGGGATAATTCTGTGGACCATCCTGCTCCATAGCCTGGACTGGTGTCCTTGGCTGGGATAGAGTTCATTTTCTTCCTAGTAGCTGGTGCAGAGCTGTGTTCTGGCTTTAAGTCTGAGGCTAATGCTGATAACAGACCCATGTTTTGCTGCTCAGCAGCACTCACCCTGACCAAGGACTGTTCAGTCTCTCATGCTCTGCCAGTGAGGAGGGGCACAAGAAGCCGGGAGGAAGCAGAGACAGGACCCCTGACCCAAACCAGCCAAAGGGGGATTCCATCCCCCAGCACGGCATGCCCACTGGGATAAAACTGCAATGTAAACTATAAACTGGAGGGTAATATGTATTTATTTATACTTATTTTTATATGAAATATAAACTGGGGGGAGCTGCCCAGAAGGGGCCAGTGGGGAGGGGGTTATTCCTTCTTCTCTGTTTCCTATTAGTATCATCATCACTGTAGCTTACTAGCTAGTAACCTTGATATTATTAAGGGTACCAGCTATTGCTAGCATTATTGTTATTACTGTCATTACTGTTATTATTCCTGTTTCATTATTATTCTATTTTACTTTTATTTCAATTACCAGACTTCTTACCTCAACCCACAGGTTTTATACCTGTTTTCCAGTTCTCTTTCCCATCCCACAGGCAGGAGGTGAGTGGCTGTGTGGTGTTTAGTTGCTGGCTGGGCCTAAACCATGACAACTTGGGACACTGAGAGCCCTTTACCAGCACATGGGAGTCCTGTGAGCCTTCCCACAGAGCTCCTGGCCTTGCAGCCTCCATGGGGCTGATCACAGGTCCCCTTCACACTCTGGGGCAGGATCGGATGAGCCCAGGTCTGGATCTGACCAAGGCGACAGCTCCAGCCATGGCGATCAGGACCAGGACGATGCAGATGGGGACGACCACAGCAGCACTGTTACACTGCAGCACTGAGACCGGCACCTCCTCCACCAGCCTGCCCCGGTAGTGAGGGGGAGCATGGCACGTGTAGTGCTGGGGCCAGCCCTGCCCCAGCTGCCCCACAGCCGCCAGCGCCTGCAGCCCCCCCACCTCAGAGCATGAGCACATGAAGGGGTTGTTGGCTGCGGCCACGTCCTGCAGGTTCTTCATCTCATCCCACGGCAGCTCCGTGATGGAGTTGTTGTCCAGGTGCAGGGTGTCCAACAAGGGGAAATTCCTGATGGAGGGCGCAGCCTCCAGCATGTTTTGGCTCAGGAAGAGCTTCTTCAAGGAGCTGAGGGAGATGTCTACAGCGTGGAGGTGGTTGCAGCTCATGTCCAGCACTTCCAGGCTGGGGGGCAGAGGTGTGAGGACCTCTTCCAAGCCAGCGTCAGACAAGTTAAAGCTGCGGAGGGATGGCGGCCACTGGCAGGATGCGGATGGGTCTGCCGTGAGCTTGTTCTGGCTGAGGTCGAGATGCTGGAGCTCCCGCAGCAGCTGCACGCCCTCACACACGCTGTGGTAGGATGTCAGGTTGTTGTGCTGCAGACTCAGCACCCGGAGCTGAGGGAAAGCCCCGCTGCAGAATGCAGGCGTCAGGCTCTCATCCCCAAGGCTGTTCTGAGCCATATCCAGGGAGTGCAGGGCTGTGAAGAGCCTCCCGATGGCACAGGGCAGGCTGGTGAGGTGGGAGGTGGTGAGGGACAGCTCCTGCAGAGCCCCCAGGAAGCTGCTCAGGCTGGACAAGTCCTGCTCGCGGCCCGTCAGCGCAGCAGAGCTCACGTTGTGGAAGCGCAGGGACAATATGGGCAAGTCCTGGCCAGCCATTCTGTCCCAATTGCCTCTGCCCTCAAAAACACAGCTGTCAAACACCAGCTCCTCCACGTGGGTGTAGGAGAAGAACCTCAGCACTTGGGCGAGGAGTATCTCAGGCACCAGGAGATCACCAAAGATGATCTTCCTGAATACCAGGGAGCCCAGCATCTCAATGGCAGAGGGGTCTGGGTCACTGAGGGTGAAGGCTATGTATCTCTGCAGGTCTCCCCCCCGAAACTCCACGACAGAGGCTGGGAGGCACTGGATGATGCTGTCGACGCTTTCCTGGGACAG